TTCCCCCGGAGGAGCTGGAGGAAGTGTCTGGAGAGAGGGAAGTCTGGGCATCTTTGCTTAGACTGCTGCCCCCGCGACCTGGTTCCGGATAAGAGGAGGAAAATGGATGGATGGATAGCTTATATGTCCACAGAACAGTGCGTATACTCAATCAGTGAAGCGATAACTTCATGACTGCTAACCAAACATTGTGTAGGAACTGGAACCAAAGTAAACTGACTCCTAAATCTTCAGTAGCAGCACCTCAGCAGCAGAAAGTGAAGTGGTTGGGGGAATAGGAATCCCTTGTAACACAACAGTAGTATCAGTAGATAAACATGTGGTAATATCAGCCTCTGGTGTTGGTTCAGGAATGTGCAGGTAGTCACAGCAGCTGAGTGAAAGCCAGTGCCAGAGTTTCTACTCAAGAGTACAGAAGCTATCTCCTCCTCAAGGCTCATACAAAGACATACAGTATAATAGTAGTGAAAGAAATAAGATAATATGAAAAAGAACAGACAAGAAAAGACAGTAAAAACAAACAAACCTATAAGGATTTTGAAACACAAATATAGAGGAGGTATAGAACAAATAAAACAAAGACCATCCATACTTTGCATCTGCACGTCGGGTAATATTTACATAAAGTAGGACATAATGAAACAGATTTGTTTAGAAGGTAGACGAGGAGACTAGCGGGATATCAAATTACTAACGCTGATAGAGCAGAATAAAACCTGTGAGGCATAAAAGCTAAATTGGCTGAAAAGGGATGAACAGCTGAACAGATGACGGTGAAAGGTAAATCAGTTTTTCAGAAAGAATTCCTACAGAATAAAAAAACCCATAATGTCCATGGGTGTTAAGTGAGCTATAATCAGTGGGTCATGAAAAGTTCACCAATGCCAAAGCTTCACACACTTAAGAAACCTTAGAAAAGTTGAAAAGTAAACAGAAACAAAATCTAGGAAATTAACAAAAATCGATTCAAAAGATAAGAAGGAGAGAGTACAGTAGATATAGTGAGACAGACTGAGAAGAGGCCTTTTGAGTTTTAAACCACATCAAAACACATGATGAGCACTACACTGTATCTTTGGTGGTTTATAAAGTTTTATGAGTCATACGTTTTGAAGCACTGCAATCCTCTGCAAACTGGCATTTCACCTGCACAACCTTTGCAGGTCAATTGCCGAGACAGAAACATCCAGATGGACGTACCACTTGTTGCTGTTGCTGTTGAATACGTATCACTGCAGCGGGAGAGGAGGTGAGACGTTTCTCCCACTGGTTGGGCTGAGGAGGAGAGGGAGGTGGTGCCTCCATAAAGGAGCGTTTTAGCTGGCTAATGCTAGCTTGGTGTTTCAGAACCTCATCTTGGGTCTTATCAAGGTCCTAATAAGGGAGAGGAATAAAGGGGGAGGCAGGGTAAGCAAGATGAAGAAGGGGGTAGTGGGTAAATGAGATAGATATGGTTGAAGGAGAGAGAATTGGTGGTAGGGATAAGATGGGTGGAATGAAAAAAAACAGATATGAGGTGTAGGTGAGAAAGGAAGATTTGGTAGAAAGAGGTGGCAGATGAAACAAAAGGGTGAAAAGGGAAAGTAAATCAAATAAGGAAAGGGTGCAAAAAAGAAGTGAGTAAAGAAGTGAGAATGGAAGGCAAGAATGAATGAGAGAGGGAAGAAAGGAGGGATGAGGAGAGAGGTAAAATTCAGGTCACAGGAACATTAGTCTGTCAATCAGGTGAGAAACAAGATGGATGCCATGCCTCACTGGAGCCTTATTTAAGGGGTCTTGAATGAATTCTTAAATTTGGCTTATCACCTCTATTTCGTTAAGGTGTGTGTGTGTGTGTGTGTGTGTAAAAGCAGGCTACAGTGAAACAGGGCCTCTCCCTCTTAAAACAGGAGTCTGTCCTTCAATCAGGCCAGGAACAGCTGGGCAGACTGCAGAACATGGTGCTGATAGTGGTGATGACTGTAACATCGGCTTTTCTTTCATCGCATTTTGTATTATTTTTCTCACTTTGTCATCGGCTGTAACTCACTGACTTTTGTCATTAAGATCCTGTGAAAGGATTTCTAACCCCACGGCTTAGAATGCTACAGACAGTGCATCACCATCAGTCCCATGTTACAAAAAAGATATTTTGCTTTAGTATGTTAACAAACCACAAACCACTTGACAATGCTGGCAGCCAATTACCAAAAAAGGGTTCCACATATGAGTTAGGGAGGCAGGATTAGTTGGGTTAACTCCTTAACAATCAATGATTGAAAATATATCAAGATAAAACAACAAAACAGCACTCAACATGCACAGAGCATGCATGAAAGTTGCGTTCACACACCACCGACCTTATTCATAAAGCAGCCATTGTGAACATTGATGCTGGCAAATTTCCTGGAAGAGCAAGTCTCTACTGGACTATTGTCTACCGAGATAAACATCAAATGAATGTTTTGCATTTCATAGATTCTGAAACATGTTAGTTCCCTTTGGGCTGTCACTCCTAGGACTGCTGCTGATTGTAGCAGACCTTCTCACTGACGTGTTTAAAGCTGCATTTGGCTATATGGGCACAGAACTAGACTAAAAATCACATTTGACATAAATACTTGTAAAGTTAATATGATTAACATGTTACATTCGTTGCATCAGCTGAATATGAAAATCTCCTCGTAGCTCTATTTTGGTCTCCACCACCTCATGAGGGAATGATCTTACTCTTGCTCTTAAATACTTCACTATGCTAGTCGGTAACGTTTTCCATCTGCTATTCAGAAGATGTAAACAATGGTGATGAGAGTGGTGAGGTCGAATCAAAACAGTAAAGCTATGGGATGTGAAACTAAAGCAATGAGCTGAAAGCTCAGGAGATACGCAGAATTAAGTGATAATTACCTGCAGGTTCAACACATTGCATAGTATCTTTATATGAGCAGTGGCTCAAATGTAAATGTAGCTTAAAGTCACATTTGTTTTATATATCATACAACACAACATTGCAGTCAGGTTTCCTAGTCCAGCTGTTCAAAATGGCTGCCAAGTGAATTAGGACAATTAGCACTGCAACCTTTTCTTACCAAGTATTACTAGGATACTTAAAAAAAAAAAGGTGCAATTGAGCATGGACTTGATATGCCAACTTCCACACACAAATACACACATGCACACAGAGCCTGAGAGTGCGAGAGGGCAGCAGTCTTGTACTGTACAGTACAGCATAGAGAAAACTGTAGTTCTGATGGCGTCAGAATACACAGAAAACATATAGTTCTTTTGTTCAGCCATCAGACGACGCCAGTACCAACCTCCAACATTAAATTACTGTGCCTCACATAAATATTGTCCCCATGCACTCTCAATGGACTCTGGAAGGTAGACATACAGCAAAAATCAAATGAGTAAATTAATTTTAAAAAGTGAAAAATATAATAATATTAAAGTTGAACATTTTACCAATGTAATAAATTAATTTACTGTGTAAAACACAAAACAAAATTAAAAGAAAATCTGGAACAAAAGTAATAACCATCTAATGAAATCAATGAAAAATTATTAAATAAATCAATGAAGCCGAAATGTAAAAACAACAACTGCATAAAAAAATAAATTAAAAAAAGGCAGGCACGTGGTGACAGCCAAAATGTCTCAAACTGTGATGAACCCTGCAGGATGGGTACAAGCACAAATTGAAAACACTGATATTATTCTGAATAAAATGTGTTAGCACTTGTACCCATGTCAACAAAATCCAAAGCATTCAAAACATCACATCACCAACAAATCCCACTGTGCTTTCAGTGAAACACCAAATTATTGACAAAAACCACGGATATGAAGCAGAAAGCAAAGTGAAACTGAAAAAAAAAAAGTCACAGCAAAGCAACTGAAAAAGAACACTGGGTGAAAATGCCCGTTCAGAATCCGTTTTACACTCAGCCCCAGTCTGAAAATCCACATGTAAAACAAAGGGCATGATTAAATACATATTTACTATATAACCTCAGTCAATGTAAATATCCTTTTTATTGTCCTGACAAATTCCAGATTGGGGCTGAGAATTTTATGTCCTTACATTAGGACAGCTTCACCCTGAACAATGACCCAAACCAACCAACACAGGCAGAGCAAATGACCAATAACTGTGTGTGAACCTGAGAGAGGGCAGCCTCCTTGGTTCCATGTGACTGTTGATGGGGTAAAGTCAGGGAGAAATTAAGGACAGATTAGGTTTGCCATGTTTGCTCCACTGCACCACAGAACCACTTCCATTCAATAAATACAACCCTAAGTCCTAGCAAACAAATGTCTTCTATCTTTTATGACTGCATCATTAGTTTCCTAAGAATTTGCAAATGCATGCTGGGGTGTGGCAGGCCCTACAGACCTGGGTGGGTGTGGTCTCGGCCCCGCCAGTGCTTACGTCCACCTTCTTAACCTTCAGTGTCATTGTCATGACAAAATGAGGAGGGTAGGAGCACGTAGGAAAAAAAAAAGTGAAATGGATGATGGGAAATGCTATGCTCTTCCCAAGCAGCCTCATAGTTTTGGGGTATTTCTGGTAATGTGACCTTTGCACTAAAACAGTATGAGATGGCCAATAAAGCACAACAGCAGATGCTACTATTAAGAAAAGATTCACAGTCTGTGTCAAAGGACATTTCTATCATATGATACATTCACAAGTTTTCCCGAAGCAAACGCTTGTGTACAGCATTACTTTGTGGAAAACACCACGCCTTGTTAACTGTTTCAGTACTAGAGCCTCTAGTGCTTCGAACCTGTCCAAAACCAAATCTGATTCAGTGCATCTACACCAAGTAAAAAGCTACAATTACTACAGTTCCTATGAAGGTTTTAAAGACACAAATACTACTTTACTACTCTTCTGTGGATACTAATTGCTACAATATTTTCGCCAGAGACCAGCTTTTACTAAAGTAAACGTGTAGTTAGTTACTCTGGCAATGGTAAATACATCAGTATTTATTTCAGTCTATCTTTTGATCATATATCTTTTCCATCTGCAGCCACAATTGAATTCAGCTAAGATGCCATTATATGTACACAAAGCAACAACAGACAGGAGCACAGGAGAGAATCCTGAGCCTTGGGGTTCAGGTTAAGTGTAACACTGTTTACTCTTAATATTCATTAGTGATAATGTACAAATCCAGTACATTATAAACACTATAGGCTTGAAGGGGCTATAGAATTTATCTGTATATACAGTTATAACATCTAATCTACAGCTAATCTTTCAGTGGCATCCTTTTTCTCCAACACAAGCAGCAACTGAAAATTAAGTGAAAGCAAAAATATCTAATCTTATTGCTTAAGTGCTGATTTGTCTTGTACATTACCAATTAATACTATGATATCACTTCATCTGAATGAGTGTGACATTAATCTGCTGTGTTCCAACACAGCAATTGCACAGAAGGGACGCCTTTCTGAGCATGACAACTAATAATTACTAATTGTAAAGAGATGAAACATCAAATCTTATTGTATTTTTTCTTCGTAAGTTAATTCATTTAACCCTCTACTTTGCTTACAGTCTCTGTACAGTATTTCAATCTCTTATGTTTTCTGTGTATTAGCAGTACAATTAGTAACATACAACAGTTTCACTACTTCCACAATGTTTATACTTGATCAGCTCTCTGTATTTTAGCACTTTGTTTAATGTGACTTGTTCTCATCTTTCTTCTTTTTTTATAAAGAAATGGGTTGGTAGGGTGTAGGGATGTTAAGACAAAGAAAATACCAGGGAAAGGAAGTGGTAGTGAGTGTAGGGAGGTGACGCAAACGCAGTTTACACATTCACACACAGAGTAGGTCAAAAGAACAGAGGAGAAGAGGGTTGGTAGGGTTGGAAATGTGGATGTATAATTGTGTGTGTTTATGCAGCAGGATCACATATCTCTTGTGTCCAGGCGGCACTTATGTGAGTGTGGTGTCTGATGCATGGGGGTGTGTGTGTTGGTGTGAGAAGAGAGGCTTGCTTGTTGAAACCAGAGCTTAACTGCTCTTCAGGCTGATCGTTTGACATTTTAGGGGCAAACAATGGCAAAACTGCCTTTCCTTGACGGGATACCATGTTCTCTAGGTAACACAGGGTGAGGCCGAGCGGCGTGGCTAAGATCAGGGCTAAGATCAAGGACTGGCTTGCTGTCAGCATCACAGCTGACAGGAAGACAACTAACAGGCAGGGCAGGAGGAAAGGAGACGGATTCAGGAGGTAACGGTGTACCGCTAAGGTAAACTTAGAGCAAGCGAAGGAAGAGAAGGTTGAGAGAGAAACGAGATTTGAGGATAAGGACAGAGGGGAAAAAGAAGAGCGAGAGAAGAAGGAAGAGACAGCTAGAGGCCAGGTAAGAGAAGAAATCGAGGGAAAATGTTTTGAGTGCCAAACAGTAGCAGGGGCCAAGCTAATGATTTTAGTAAGCAGACAGTGGTTAAGAATTTGAAGTAATCTGGATGTACTCATGTTTGAAACGACACATTTGGGGGAAATGACAGCAAAAGTCTTTTGTTTCAGTGCTGGCTGGGACAAAGAGGGAGTAGCGATGCTCGGTTTCTTTGTTAAGTATGCAAACATCTTTGTGGGCAAACACCTGGTTCCATTCTTCCCCAATGCGAAGAGAAAAGAAAGAATGAACGAGACGTATTTGACCACACCCCTCGGAGAGAACCAATTCTGATAATTTAGTTCTCCAGATGTTGCTCTGGTATCAGCCTGGAGGCTCTCCTCTGTTTCAAAAAGCTCTGAAGTGCAATTCTGGGTGCTTGTGATTGTGGAAGAGGCTGGAGGGTTTTGTGTGAGGTGTTCAAAATCAGCCGACTGCTGATCGGACATGGAGAAAGCATATGAGGGAAGAGTCCATGGCAAGGCGGTTGTGTCATCGATAAGGTCGTCATCTTCAGAGATGTCTGACAGGCCATGGTCGAGCTCGGAGATGGCATCGAGGGAAGGGGGGATAGAGGAGAGTGAGGATGATGAGGAGAAGGAGAGGGGAAACATGAAAATTGACTGAGGGAGAAGGATTGAAGAAGGAAACAGACAGAGAGAGGAAGAAGAAAGAAATGGAGGAGGAAGAAAGGGGGGAGGGGAGACAGAGTGGGAGGAAAAAGAAAGGAGAGAGCCATGCACACACATCCACAAAGTGTAGGAGCCAGTGGTGACAAAGAAAAATAAGTTAAAATGACACAATGTGCATTAAAAACATTTTTCATTTTCATCACAATGGCAAAAATGGCAGCATGCAAGAGGGGAGTGAGACATGCAAAGAAGAGAAGCGTGTGAAGGAAAAAAGAGAAATGGAAAGAGACAACATTAGTCCATTAACCACATCGTAACACAATAGGTTAAAGGTGAAAATAGCAGGGTGGAACACAGTGCAGAGTACAGTGGTATGCGGAGACAGTGTTCACAACTAATAAGACGCTGGTCAGCCCCACAGTACTGGGGTTTGAACAAGGGTTAGCAGGAGAAAAGGGAAAGTGAGGAGAGCAGGGTGGAACAGGCATGCGTCTCATACAGTTATACTCTCTATCCACCCATTTACTAAGCACAGACCGATTTTTTATAGCAGTGAGCACAGTCCCACCAGATCCTTACTACAGGCGAGACACCAGAAGACGTCAAGTCAGTGTCATATCAAAACATGACGATCTGTCTGGATATGATAAACTTGATAGTGAGTCACAGTCTATGTCACAGTTAGAAATGTAATGATTTTTATCCATCACCCACATAAACACTGTCTGTCTCTCTCGAACACAAAAACACAAACAGTTCCTGTGGAACAATATGGAAACCCAACAATAATATAATGACAACATATAAACAAGATTGTTTTGGTACGACTGTCTTGCTATGTATTGACACATGATGTATGCACAAACACACCTTAGAGTCAGAGTGGAGCTCCAGGCGGGGCTCACGTCCATTCTCAGCCATGTCCCTGCCCATCTCAGTTATACTGATCATTGGCTCTAAATGAATGAGAAACACATAAACAAAATCAATTCAAAAAAACCACAACTTCCCAAGACAGTTACATACAGTAAAAACCATCAATTACACTGAATTGTTTCCTCTGCTGATGCTATCAGCTTGCAGTGGATTAAAGTGTCCAGCAGGGGATGATGTAAGACAGTACTAACTTGACACACATGAAAACATAAGTGCACAGTTGCATGAAGCGGGATCTGCAGGCAAACTCTAAAGGTGCTGCATAGGTATGGCCTAACACAAAGCTTTGTACCTTGCAATGTTCCTCAAAGAAAGATAGGAAGGGATTTGGATATGTCACCCTCTACGGTGCATAACATAATTAAAAGATTCAAGGAATCTGGAGGGATTTCAGTGAGTAAAGGGTACAAGCCAAAGTTGGATCATCGTGTTCTCCAACCCCTCAGACGGCATTGCATCAAAAATCGTCACTCTTCTACGGACGCTGTGTGCTCTGGACCAAAGATGAAAAGGACCATCCAGACTGTTACCAGCAACAAGTCTAAAAGCCAGGGTCTGTCATGGTCTGGGGTCATGTCAGTGCCCTTGGCAAAGGTAACTTACACTTCTGTGATGGCACCATTAATGCTGAAAAATACATAGAGATTTTGGAGTAATATATGCTGCCTTCAAGACGACATCTTTTCCAGGGACATCCATGCATACTTCAACAAGATAACACAAAACCTCATACTGCGCATTACCAAGGCCTGGCTGTGGAGGAAAAGGGTGTGAGTGCTGGACTGGCCTGCTTGCAGTCCCCACCTGTCCCCAGTAGAAAATATGTGGTGCATTTTGAAATGCAACTTGTGTCAATGAAGACCCAGGACTGTTGCAAACCTTAAGAACTGTTTGCAGGAAGAATGGGACAAAATTACACCTGGCACACTTAATCGTTTGGTGTCCTCAGTCTCTAAACATCGTTTTTAAGTGCTTTACTGTCTCAACTTTTTTTAGGGAATGTGTTGCAGACATCAGAATTGGAGTGTTTATTTTGAACAAAGAATAAAATTGATAAGGTATCTCATCAAATAATGTGCTGCTGCGCTGTTTTCAGTGTAATACAGGACACAGATGATTTACAAATCACTATTTTCAGTTTAAATTTTACATACTGTCCCAACTTTTCCTGATTTGGGGTTGTAACATTCTTTCTCCTTCTGTCTCTCTCAGGAAACATATGCTGCAGCTATTTCCTGTATCTGAGCATTTTACATTCAAACACACACACAACTACATGCAATCCCTCCATCCATGACCCCACTTCCATCTGCCCATCATTCCTTCCATTCCTCAATCTGGCTGTCTATGCATTCATTAAACATTGTTTATTTGAAGCTGGAACTTCATGTTTCTGACAAAGTGTGACAGTGTGCTCTGGGTGAGCGTGCTACCTCCATCCAGACTGCGGCTGATGCGTTTTGACGGGGTGCGTTCGAAGCTGGGTGCAGGTCGGTCTATAAGGGAGCTGGCCAGACGGGTCTGGGCCTGAGTTCTACCGCTGTAACGGAACTTAGAGCCCAGAGTCAAAAAGCGAGCCTTGGTAGGAGGTTCTGGTGCGTTTAACCTAGAGACAAAGAAAAGAGACAGAAAGCAGACAAGATAGAAAGATGAGGGAATTCAGTAGAGGAGCATGAATTTTAAAGCTTATTCCAAAATGTAAATTAAATAGTTGCAGTTATATATCCATGTGCAACAGAGACAAAACATTTCCAGGCAACCCTTCCATCTACAGGTTATTAAGGCTTATTCTTCTCTCTCCTTCTTACTCACATACAGTACAAACGACAAGTATGTTCAGCCTGATACCGAACATTACTTCACTGAATGTGATCTAACAGTGTGTGTGTTTCGATGCCCTAAACGCCAGAATGAATTCTCTGATATCTCGAACTATAGTACATTTCCTTCATAGTGAGCATCTGAGTGTGCGTTCTACCTGAAGAAAGTGTGATTCTCCACACAGACCTTCCACAGCCTTTTGGCTGACCGATGATTTTGGAGTTTGAATCCCACCGTGCTCTCAAACTGCTCCGTCTAGTAAGCGAGAAGCAAAAATTAGGACATTTTTTTCCCACCACAGAAAATCAAACTATGCTCAGTATATTGTATTGTGATTGCTCTGTTATGGTACCATTACAGAGATTATTTTTGTAGCATTTTTTGGTATGTACAACTGACTATATCTCAGTAGTTTTAGACCGTACTGTGCTCGGGGACTAGGGATGCACGACATCACTTTTTTTCAGATCATGTACAAGTACTCAATGATACAGAGTACTGATACAAGTATTTAATGATGCAATGTTGTATTATAAAAGACTACAATTACCATAAAAGTGCAATAACGATTTACTTTGATAGTGATTAAAGAGAATATCCTGTGACAGGAGACTGTACAAATTACCTAAAAACTTTGTGATAACAAACAACACTGCCACCATTCCTACCACTGACATTTCCATCTAATGACCTGCTCAACCAGTGTGAGGTTAACGTCATGTTGCTGTTAATTGGTATCTGTGCACAGTTTCTGACAACTTTTACAAGTTGTACTAGAGGGTGTTATTGGACCTGGACCTGGACCTGATACTGGTATCTGCATCAGCACATCCCAACTGGGGACATACCTCTCCTGGTCTGATCTTAATGTAGAAGTTGGTCCTCTTGTATGAAACCTTCAGTATTTTAGGCCAAGCAAAGCGATTTATTCGAAGCTTGTCTTTGTAAACCAGAAGTCCGTTGGCACACACGCCAAGCATGATATCTACGCCATCAGAATCCTGCAACAGTCAGATACAAATAAACACAAAATACACTTTTATTGTGGAATTATGCTGTAAATCTCTGAAGCATCTAGAGGTGGTTTGTCTTAATCAGATCATAATGCACATCAATTGATTTCTAAAGTAGGCTGATCAACAGAAACTCAATTACCACACACACACACACGCACACACATACAAACATTGTCATTTAGCACAACAGTAACATAGTTAGCTGGCAGACCAACTCAACAAGGCCATCTGGTCATGGTGGGGGGTATTGATTATAGTAGTGGTGAGTTAACACAGGAAAAATCTTTTGGGCTAATGGACGAGGCAATGTGTCGATTAAGGGCGGTTTTACTGGGACACACACACGTCACATAGCCCTGCCATGCTATTAGCCAGTCATCGATCTCTGTCCTTGTGCTGGGACTACGGACACATTTTAGCTCTTTGTCTTGAACACACACCCGACAAAATGGATGTAGTAGGAAAATGATTGTTTGATTTCTGTTGTTTATGTAAATAAACAATGACAATGATTTTGAATAAATACTAAAAATATTTAAAATGGAACTGAAACATCCACCCTAGAATACTAGAATACGTCTTATAATTTGCTAATTAATACACCTACTGCAATTGGGTATTGTTGTCACTGCTGCTGTCAGACTATTCAATCACCACTGTAGTCAGCAAACCAAACAACATTGATCAACTGTTCACCTTCTGCACTAATGATTCTGCAATTTATTTTTGCTGATACTAGTGCAATAACTGTATTTGATGAAATACAGTACTATACCACCACCCCATTCCATTCCCTCAAGTCCAATTTTTGTATTTAATGTTTTATTGCAAGTTCCTGTCTCTGCACCTTTTTCCAACACATTTTTGCCTCACTACCATTACTATTAATGTTTAGGTATCTATCTGTTCTGGTAGGTCTACTACAGTGAGACTTAAATTTCCCTGTCTGGGGTCAATAAAGTTTATCATATGTTTCTCTTTATTTCAGTCTATTCAGGTACATATGATGACCAAAAACATAACATTCGCCACTGACACGATTATATTATCAAGCAATGCCGTGTCTATAATAAGGTTTAGACTCAGCCAGTTGATGCAGACTAAAAAACAAACAAACTATCCCATCACTGAAACTGTCACCAGCCAGGAAAAGTCTTGCACAAAACCATGAATGGTCAAAATGATTCAGATTTAACTTTTGTTAAACAGAGAAAAATGCATTTGTTTAATATTTGAAAGGGTTTATTTGTGGACTTCGGGGTTATGAAACATGCACAACAAATTAATGGCACAGGACAGAAACAGATCTGCTCCTTGAATTCCCACAACTTTGGTATGCCAAAAAAAAAAAAAAAAAAGGTTTCAACAAAACTCCTCCGTTGCTCTCATCTTTTCCCCTGGCTCCTCATCTATGTTTTGCAAACAAGTAGAGCAGAAAGGGAACTTGCTTCCTCTATTTCAAGGATGTGTCGCAATCTCACTCTAACCTTATCTCTGCCCCCCATTTCTTTGTGTCTTCAACGTCTCCAATCTCACATCCTCTCATTCTATTTAAAGACCCCCCCCCCCCCCCCCCCCCCCCCCTCTCTTCCCCCCTTTCTTCTTTTTTTTTCTTGCACAGACATACTCAGACACACATGGAAAATGCACACACTCTGCTAATGACCCGCTATCCCATTGAGAGAGGCTGGCTGTTCCCATGGCAATGGCCTCCCTGAGTGTTTGTACAGCTGACGCATGTGCGCGCGCGCGCACACACACACACACACACACACACGGACACGGACACAAACAGGCAGACACAACAGCTAACTTGTCCCACATCAAAGAAACTGTGCTAATCCCCAGATGTCAACAACAATAGAGAGGAGACTATTCATTTGTACCTTAGCATGGTGCAGGTCGACTCCGTACATGGACAGTTTCTTGGCATTTTCTAGAAACTGGGCATCAGCCTGTGCTGGTGTCATTCCCCTAAACCCAAAGAAAAGGCCAAATTAATACAAACCCTCAATAGTACACTGACATAAATGCACATTAGATTGTGTTCTTGTTGTATTTTTATTGTGCTTCTTTCACTTGCTGCTTTAAAATGCCTTAGATTTGTGTTATTGCTCATCTACTTTATATTTCACTTGTATTATGTGGCATTCACGTGGACGGCAAAGAAAGAATTTCATTGTACAGGGAAACACGTTTCCTAACTGTGCATATGACAAATAAACACGTTGACCTTGAAATGCATGATGTCTGAATTACACAATACATAAAAAAAGATCCAGTCATCCTATAGGAGTTACAAACATAACTATACAACTCTACAGCTTTTAATGACAAAACTAAGGTTTACAGAATTGCTGGTCCTGTTCTCTCTGACCTATGGGACTTGTGGAGTTCAAGAATCTTCTCCTCCATCTCTTTGTTCTGATTGGGTTCAGAGGTCAGGTGACTGATGTAGTCCAGAGGTTGAGGCTGGTCAGGATCATAGTCACCAAATTCTGCCTGTAACCCAATAAAGGAGCGTTAATATATTGTAGCAGACTAAGTCACATCCTGCACACTTGCCAGCTCCCTACCCACCTGCACACCACATACATGTGCAGACATGAAGTACTCTACCTGCAATATGTATGACCCAAGCAGAGCGTGCGTAACAAATGAGCAAGGCAGACGACCGCAGGCCACATCTTCACGAAGCTGTAGACATAACAGGTACCTACAAGAAAGGGAAATGGAAGAAAGGGCTTTAGTTGACACTAATTCAATACAGAAGAATAAAAAAAAACATACTAAACCTAAATCTTCTTTCCAACCCATGCATTGTTCATCATACTGTAAAAAGCGATCCATGTAGCCAGACTGCATTCTCCTGTGAGGCCCCAGCAAAGGGGTCACCTGGAGATTAAATATTTTTGTTGATGCTGACTTTGTTGTATAATTTTCTTAGTATGATCATGTACTGATTTGCTGAGATAACCTTATGTCTAAACCTCACTGTGACATAACCAGACTAACCTGCATAACATGCTGGTTTCCAGTTAGTGTATTTTCTATTGACTGTCTTATGACTGTGAATGGAGGACTCTGCATCAAACCTTTATGGATGAATTCACTATGTGAATGGAGCTTCTGTGTCAATGACTAATTCTGTCACCTCAGGGTGATGATGAATGTATCACCCTGGCAACTCAAAAATGTCATTCAAAGTCATTTTAGTAGGATGCACAATTGCTGACATGGAGTTACAGAGCGTCTCTTCACTGTGCCAATATACTGCTCCAGGACAATTGTATTTTACCATGTTATGAGTGATTTCAAAATGAGAGTGAATTGACAAAATCTTAAATGATGGGCAGTACTTTCCACTATGTGAATATACATTACTGCATAGTCTGAGGCATACCCTGTGGAAAAACAATGATGTTGTAATTAACTTGTCATTGAAACTTAAAAAAAAAATAGGCTAAAATTTCACACTTCTAGTGCTAGAGGAAAAACAGCAGCTACTATAGCCACCCAGTGTAGGTTAGTTGTTGGTACTTGGCTAAGAGAGTGAATGTGTGTACGTGTATGTCCTCAGTTAGCCTTTAGCTAAAACCATTAGAGCAGCTGTTCGCTCCATTAGACATACACTTCACCCTAAATACGGTGTGCTTGGAGCATGGCATGTGTGTGCGTGCATACGTATAAATACAAATGAAAGTGTGTGCAATCCCAACTTGTGACTTTTTTCTATTTTTTACTGTGCATTGTTGCTATTATGAGGCATGGCTACAACATAATAATTTTAAAAGTGCACTAATGAATATATTTACATTGATAACTAGTCAAATGACTATGTGCAGTGTGGGGGGGTCACTCATAATAATAGACTCAAACTGAATTATCAACCCAGTTCTACAGTTCCCTACATCCTTACAAAGCCTTTCAGCATCTTTCAGCTCTTTGTTTGGTTTTAGTGTCTGCAACTTTTAACATTAACTTCATGTCCAGCTGAAGCAAATAGCTGTTTCAGCATAAAACCTCAGATAAACTGACAGTATGCTACTTGCCCACCAGCAAATAGCACACACAGTTAGCAACTAGGTGGTGAATAGAAAGAATCATTTAGTAGCTGAAGAGTCTGATCTTTTTTCAGAGGATTTGCTGGAGCCCAAAAACAGAGCTAAAAGGAAGAGCAACTATTTGTATTCATCAGATAGAGAGAAACACAATTCCTAAAAGATGTTTAACATTACTCCGTGTCTGCCTGGTGTGTAAACAGGCAAACACTTCAGCTGCTGAAACAGCTTTAAATGGGGATAATATATCAGTCCTGTGTTTACAGCTTGTTCCACAGCCCGAAATGGCCATAAAAAAAAATCAACTGATGCAGATTTACACAAAGTAAACATTTTCACATCTCTGACAGGTGTGTTTGCCTACCTGGTAATGTCTTCGGTGAGCAGGGAGGGGTCCGGAGGGTAGAACTTGACATTGAATGCAAACTGCCAGTTGTTACCTGGAGAAATGGAGATTGTTATTCAGAGTAATTTACAGCACAATAACATAACAGAAGTATACTAAGCACAGGAAAATATGAAACCAGAAAAACATAAAATGGGAGTTTGTAAAATGTGCATATTAGCATTGTGATCATGGCAGTTGATATATGCATCTATATACAGTATCTTCCTGTCCAATTCCATCCATCCCTCTGCCCATCCCACCCATATGGCTTTGTGTATAATAGACAGTGAGAGACAGTAGTGGGTGTGAGCAAGGGCGACTAATGCAGAACAGCTTTTAGAAAGCACTAAGCCTGGTACATCCTGTGCACACACACAAATACAAAGAAAATCTGGTATTACATAACCCGATTCTAGCCTGAAAAAATTTCAAACAGTAATCGTTCTCTTCATCACAAACAAGGACACGTGCCCACTAATGGCTTCATCACTGTGTGTCATGGTTTCCTTTTCTGGTGCCACTAATTTCATCTCAATCTTCATTTGGCTCCAATTTCCTATTGTGATCCCCTGCTGGAACCACTGACTTTATATAAAAGATGGATGAACCCACCGTGACATCACCCATTGTTTTTCTGAATAGCTGTTTTGAAGATCAAGTTTGGCCGCCACCATACTGGTAGTGCTTCACTCCACCTGCTACAGCGGGCTGAATGAAGCTAGCCACCAGTGAATGGACCCTCCCACCTGTCACTCAAAGCAGCCCTGCCCTTAGTAATGCACAACTTTTAGTGAATATAATTTAAAAAGGGCGAGTTTAATAAAAATTCCACCCCTGTACAGTTGTCATTGAAGCAGAAATTAGCTATAGAGACTGCAACTGTTTTTTGTACTAGGCTGTAAACATGTTTATTTCTGCTGTAAAGTTGGGAATTTTAACATGGGACTCTGTGGAGTGACTCCCTTTTGGAGCCAGCCTCAAGTGGCCATTCAAGGAACTGCAGGTTTTGGCACTTCAACACTGGCTTCTTTTTTCAGTCTCAGAGGTTGCCGCTTGGCTGGAGACAATATTGCCATGCCTGACACCCTCTCTGTACTGCTTGGAGTACAGAGAGGAGTTCACATCATCTGGAAAATTCAATCCGGGAAGAGCTCACATCCCCATTAGAATTGCTTTCTCCTCCTCCAAGGTTATAGATCCATCCACGTAAACACACAGGCGAAAAGAGGACACACAGCAATAAATTCCTCACACACAGACCCTTGTCTGTTGTCTGTTGGTGTGTGAATATTGATGTGTGTTAATGTCGGAGTATGACTGAGTTTGTCTTGTTGCCAGCACTAAGTGCTCTGGTAATCTCCCATGACATTTTGTTCTGTCTACACAACAATGTGCCCTCCATAAATCTTCCGCATGATCCATAAAACACACACATACAGTACATGCATACACAAAAACTATCCCTCACCTTCTCAAGCACACTGCAACAGTTCCTAATTTTTCCTGCATGCCCATCATCTTTGCAGTTTCTCTCACCACTCCAATCTTTCCTTTTCTCATCCACAACTCTTTGGCCAACCCTTTTTTGTGTGAACTATTCCTTTAAGGATAGGCTCTAGCCTTCTCTTCTGTTTATGTAGCAAAAGCACACTAAATCAAATGATCTGCCCTTTAATTTTCATCACAGATACTCAGCTGAATTAGCTGCAAATGTACCATGACAATGTACTGACAGCAACAGCAGGGTGAGCCACCCAGCTCTATAAAGGTAAGTTTGATTATAGAGAGAACATGAGCGCTGCTGTTAAACATTAACAACATCCGCATGCACTGCAGAGGTCTACTGACTGGACTAAACTCAGACTCAGTATTTGGCCTGCTGTGACATTCAGCATGACTTTTAGAGCGAGATGAAATCTTGTATCATTGTCTCTTTAAAGTGAAATCTAAGGAGCTCACTTACTCAAATTTCAATTTTACTTCCATTGGTACTTAAATTAGATTTGAGGACAGTTTCATTGACACATTTCCATTTGTGGTATTACATTAAATGGAAATCATTTGATTTCAGCTCAGTTTTTCGGTCCAAGTTTAATTTTGATAAGCTCTCAGTCTAATTCTGATACCTAGCTGCTGGGAGTACATTTTCTTTCCTAGTTCTCCCTCTTGGTTTTCTCATTTTTCTTAAGTGCTGTCACATTTCCCAACTTTCGATCAGTTGACTTATAGGCTTTTCTTCCCCTTCACTCTCTGCAGCTCAATGTCTACTGTGTCAGACCCTTTAGCATTTTTCTCTGCACAGATTTACTTGATTCTAGTGTCACTGATGTAGGATAATTATATAGACTTTTAGCTTGTTCTTCTCCATTAAACTCCCTTACACCGGGGTGCCAGAGACACCCACACTGTTGGTCAAAGTAAACTGCATTGTGGACAGGAGTGTCAGAGCTGGAGCTTCATAGCCCCACCACTAAACAGCATCTCCAAGGAAATATGTGGAGCAAACCTGATCTCTGAACTCACTGTTAACATTGTGTTTTGTGCCTAAATAAAAAAAAAAGTCCTCTTCTTAAAACTGCTCTATATTAGATAGCATACTTTATATTACAGAGCCAGTCCAGCAAGGCAAAGCTCAGCGGTTTTGATCATTCCAAATAATAATTAACTGACCCAGAAAAGCTTTCAGGAACAAATGTTTAGGTCCCAGCCCAGTAGCCAGAGATGGCAGAGTGACTGATGACAGTTTAGAGCAGAATGGTGTCAGACCTGTCATTTGTGTGGTACTGTGTCTATACACACACGCAGAGAAACAAACACAGGCACAAGGGATAATACACACATTCTCTCTCCCTGAATAAACATTCACGCACACAGAAAAATGTACACACATTAAAATATGTAGCCCACACAGCAACAACAACAACACATGCCTGCGTGCACACCGCACAGTCTGTGATGGCTCACACATTCACAATGAGCGACACACAGTCTTCGTACACCCAGAAACCTAAGTCACTTGAACTAATTCTAAAATAACCCTTTATGAGCCAAAATTATATGTTTATTCTAAGTCTCCCTCTTAAAAGTGCAACTTGAAATTTTAGGCTGTTTAAAGTCTGTTTGGACTTCCACAGTAAAGAAGAAGCAAGAAACAAACAACAAAGAAAAAAAAAAAAGAGTAAAGCTATGACTTATGATCATTTTCTTCAAAAACCTTCAGAAAAATAATTAAACAAGACACATTAACTAATAACAAGAACAAAGTATTGAAGAAACTCACAATGTAGCTCCAAATAACACAACACAATTAAATCCTGAGCAAATAAAATGACAGACTGGAGAAATGATAAGTTCACCAATCTGAACTAGGGCAACAACTTGTTTATCATTGTACTTTGTGTGTACTGTGTTTTAATGTGAGTAAACGTATAAAGGATGGACACCATCACAAATGGAGTACATCTTTTCCACTGTCATATGTTGTGTGCATTTAAAAAATAAAAGAAAGCAGTTAACGAAGAGGTCCATAAATAATGAAGCACAGTGCTCATTCTGGTTACGTTTCCAGCCTGCCACCCTGCTGTCATTTGGATTCAGATGTCTCTGGCTTTATTTGACTTAACTGTAATGCAGCTTGTTTTTTTTTATTTGGCAGGGGGATAACAAGCTGCAACCTCTGAAGCTGAGAAATAAAGCCAGTGTGGAAGTGTTAAAACCTGAAAGGCCACTTGAGGCTGCCTCCAAAAGGGAGTCAATCCCTATAGACTCCCAAGTTAAATTGCCCAACTTGACAGCAGATGTTTACAGTCTGGTCCAATAAACAGTTTTGGTCTCTTCAACTAATTGCTCCTGCCATGACAAGGTTAATTTTGATATAACTTTCTTGTTAAAATTTTATTGAGGCTAAAAGTTACACATATCTAAGGGTATGCTCACATCGAGTAGCAGGTGGGAGGGCCCAGCCACAGGTGGCTAGCTGCTAGCTGTCTAGAAAGCTCCACTCACGCTCCACCTCTTTGCTCATTTTTGGATTAGCCGGAGTTAGGCTAAGAGTTAACACTACAAAGAAGGCGACGGCCAGAATTGAGTTTCAAAATCGCTTTTCAGAAAGCCAACACGTGACGTCACAGAGCATTTGGTCCATCTTTCATACACAGTCAGTGGGGGATACTTTCCATATTTTAATAGACAATATTTGTATTTTATTTATTGCCTTTTGTTTGAGAACTTGGGCCCTGTTTATATGTGAAACAGCTTGTCACCAGGAAGGAGGGTGATGGACACAGAAATGCAGGGTGGATGGATAATGAGAGAAAATCCAGAAAAAGAAAGGATGTGATTTGAGCAGTAGTAGTAGTAGTAGTAGTAGTAGTAGTAGTAGTAGTAAACTTACTGCGGATCTGTCTCTTGATTTCCTTAGTGGGATCCAACCAACACTGGTGGGAGCAAATCAGAGATGAATGAGAAGACAGCTAAGCTCTGTCACAAAACAGTGTGAGACACTGTACAGACATCTGTGTCTGCAGTTTCTATGTGTGCACATTACGGACTTATTATCATAGAGTACATCTTATATGGATACGCACCTTCTGTTCATGGCTGTCCTTGTATGTCAGACCAAAGTAGTCTTTTTCCAGTAGATTAAGGTGCTCACACACCTTAAAGAACAAGTACTGACCCTTAGCACGTTTCTGTAGAGTGAGAGAGAGAAAAATTCAAAGTCAAAGATTAAAATGTGTACACTGCATTTGGACTTAAAAATACTATCAAAAGCTACTATTTAATATTTCCAGTTCTCAAGTTTCAAATGTCATTTTAGTACTTTATAAATATGACAGGGAAATAGTAGAGTAGCCTGTGAAAAAAGCTTAAAAACATTGCCTAGTTAACTGAGAAGTGAGACACTTTAACGTTGCTGCTCACAGCTCTCATCTTCTTGTTCATTATTCCCTTGCTCATTTTCTCAGTCTCTCCATCCGTCTCCGGGTGGACACATTCCTTAAAAAGCACGATGGGAGCTTTGGCCAGAAAATCCTCCACACTGAACTATGACAATGACATTTAGCACACATCCATGCATGTACGAGTGTGCACGGACACAAACACACAGCGGTGTGGTGTAGTGGATAGACAGAGGACCAGGCACAAAGAGAATGGGGGGGAAAGACAAGAAAAAAATGAAAGAATGCTCATTCCTCCTCAGTTATCCAGCCTCAGTTTGACACAGTGGCATTGCGCAGACAGACTTGCAGACAGACTTGCAGACAGACTTGCAGACAGACTTGCAGACAGAGCACAGAGCGTGGTGAAAGTGGAAGGAAAGAGGATGAAAGAGTGCATTTTTCCTCTTGTCCTGGGACAGCTGGAAACATCTGCGGCATTTTCCTATAAAATTGGCCAGACACAGGCACCACATACACGCACTCAGTGTAGTTGCATTCTGAATGCCCAAAGAATGTGACCTTTCAGGGTGTCTGTGTCTGTGCCATTGTGCCTCCAAGCAAGGCAGGGTCTTCCCTAAAACAAAAAGGCTTAGACGCAGCACCTAAGTGCTTCTGTGGAGCACCTAAGCCAAATGGCGACATAGCAGAATGACAGTAAAACAGCGAGTTATATGCGCTGAAAAATAATGAGAGGTGATTTGATCTCAAAATGAAACATAAGTGGCAACAGGAATGACCTCATGATCAACAATCACTGTTTGGGTGAACGTTTGTGTTACTGGTATGTGATAGCATCCAAGCTAATCAAAAAGCTGTTTGGATAGTTCTCTATGCCGTCAACTCAGGATTAACCACTTGAATGACTGACGATCTAGCTCCCGAATGACTGGATGGATTTCTAGCACGTCAGATATTTGGTCGGCTATCTTGAATGTCCACGGTGCGAAGTTATTCCAATGCACTTAGCAACATACAAATGACAACAACATAACAACACGGTTGACTTCAACTAGCACACAAGCAAAAAAATAAAAAAACAAGGGAAAACCCTGCAAGGAACTACCAAAGTACAGCTGTCTAACATTTGCAGGCTCTTACACAGATCTGGATTATGAAATGGAAGGAAAGAAATGCTCATCCGCAACTTTCTGTGTGTCTGTTACACATTTCATGTGACAGACACTGATCTGATCCAAATATGCATGGTACAAGGAAATTGTAGATCACGGAGAACAAAAACAATGCTCTGATTTTATAGCTTGCATCCTGAGCAACTTAAATGAAGAGCTGAATAAGGTTGGAATCCCTACGTCACTTTGTACCAAACTGCTATAACTGCAAAATTCACAGGACAGAGTCATATAAATATATTTATGAATAACATATGAAACCATATGATCATATATGTACTAGAGAGATCAAATCTGTCTCAAACCCAAAGCAACTATGCCTAATATCTGCAAATACTATCTGACTCATGTCAAGTACTGAAATATAATGAAATTCAATGACATGGTCCTCAAAACACGTGACAGTGAAATCCTGTTGAAACCATCTTTAATGAGGCTCCTGGGAACAGCGTTAGGATCATGTGACACGAAGACTTTCCTTCACGAAGGGAGTCAAATTATTTACTGGTCAAGGCACTGCAACTAATACAATATTATCTCATCTCATCTAATAAAATATTAGAATAGAATGACATCAGTTCACAATCAGGACAGATGGATGATGGACAAATAGTGAGGTGTGTGGATGTGTGTGTATGGTCTTCTATGTGTTGGAGGCCTGCTGGGCAAAAGAGAAAATGTTATCTCTGGAATGCATTGCGTATCTCTCTCAACCAAACTAAGCCAGTCTGTGAAGGGAGGCAGAGATAAATATGTGTGTGAGTGTATGTGTGTGAGCATTTCAGGACAATAGCAGTTAGTTGCAGTATCAGCGTTATCTGTAGCAACACAAAGCGGGCACTGTTCAAAGGAGCGCAGACACTCACAGGCACGCAGCTGGGCGTTGGCCTACTGTAAATTAGGATGCGAGTTTGCCACAGTGAAAGTGCTCACTATTCTGTTGAGGGACCCAAAAGCCAGGCACTTAACTATCAACAGTGTTCAGTGGAGCTGCACAGTGGCTATTCTGTGAGTGAGTGTGGGAATGTGAGGCGGGGTACTGCTAAAAATGTGCATGCTACTTTGGAAACACAAGATTGAAGCCATAAGTTATAGTAATAATGAGAAAAACACTCATGTCAAAGAATAACTGGACAAAAACAAACCAACAACAGAGAAAGGTCTAAAGCCAAGTGATTCATTCTTCTCTCACACTTATTCGTTTCTAAAAACATCATGTTGTTCACCTAATTTTTTAGGGACCTCAGAAATCACAGATGTGTTATGGGAGAAATATTTTTAAATACTACTGCAAGTATAAAGAGCTGCAACAAAAATGTGCAGGATATGTGATGTATCTGTATGTATGTTTGCATGTGAGTAGTGGGGTCTAGGGCACATGTTCATTGGAGTAGCAGATGTACAAAACTAATCTGGTGGGACCCCATGACCTGCAGGGGTTCTGTGTGTGTGTGTGTGTCAGCAGACAAGCTCCTGCAGCGTGCTCTGCTTTGCTCCGCATTTATCCACTAAACCACATCCAGACAATGTAAGCAGGTGCAACTGCACTTTGAGTCAGAAAGTTAAATGTCCCCCACTCACACAGCCACACCCACACCCCCACATGAGATTCTATTCACGT